TCTTACTCACACCACCTCATTTCCTGAGTTCAGCATCTTACCTCCCACTGCTCCAGGTTCTGTGCTGCCACAAAGAAACACCCAGCCATATAGAAGAGCTTCCATGCCAAGCTGTCTGAACAATGCAAAAAATACACAAATTTAGCTTTTTTTTTCCTTCTTCTTTGTTATTCAGACAGTTCTAAAAGCAGCATGCTCCCTTTAAAGGCAATAAAAGGAAAAAAAGGTTTCTCAGACGGAACATTTTTTTGCCTTTAGTTGTACTACAAGCTATTTTACAGCTCTCAGGATGAAAATAGAGAAATTCTTCACATTTTTTAAGAGACTTCATTCACACTGGGCTTCAAACCACATAGAATTATAAGCATATGTTATTACTGACAAGGTTGTAACATTGCATCTTTCTCTTCTCTAAAAGCAAAGGCATCTTAAAAGGCATCCACAAAACTGCCAACCCGCTGTCAACCACCAAATATTTGTGCTGCAGAGGACAAGGGTAAGGGACAATAAAAATTCACTGAAGCAAACATGTTTCTGCATAAAAGGAAGCAGTTGGCCCTCCTGACAAACAAACATTTGCATTTTACGTCCTGGAAATGTTTACATACAGCAGCCTGAGCAATTTGCTTACTCAGGTTTTCAGAGTAGAACTGTGCTCAGGATTGTTTCACAAAACTTTGTTGCAATGTCTTAAAATAAACAAGGCTGGTTTAGCTGGTGGCTCAAGCAGCTTTCACTGTGTTTTGCTCTTTCATTAACAATACATGGATTACATTGGCAGCATATTCCTACACACCATTAAGTTTTAAAATTGGATGTTAACAGGATGCAGCAGGAGAATGACAGGGCAGCTTCCAGGATAAATCCCAGAGGTGGAAGGAGAGCTGGCATTTGGTGCAGTCTGCTCTACTGCAGGGGGGGAAGCAGCAGGAGCTGTCTGATCTCTGAAGGTGTCTGAGTAATCTCTGCCAGTGATGATGTGACAGTTTCCAGAGAAACAGAGCACTTCAGTCAAAGGCAAAGGAATCATTTCATTATGGGGGCAAATAATCACTGTGTGTCTTCCCAGGAGAGCTGTGAGGACCAGCTGATCACATTTACAAATCACACACAGTACTAAATAGCATTATTAAAAATACTCTTGCAAATGGAAAGGGAGGCTGAGTAAGAAATAGAGCATTAAAGCACAGTAAGTCATGCAGGCAACAATTATTACTGGTTTTAATATTCATGTCACGAAGTGGGACAGGTACCTCCACTGCCTGTGTAAGGCCTGACAGAAGCTGCACAGGAGTCATCAGCATGAAAAACAGATCAACAGGAAAGAAACAATCCTCAAAAAAAAATTAAAGGGCATTACCTGCACTGTAATAAGCAGCAGCCAAACCTATGGAGGCTATGCCTAGGAGGAAAGAGGGGAGAATTAGAACAACAAAAAAGTCTAAAATTCCCTGATGAAAAACATAACTTTTCAAAAAAAGGACAATTGTGATTGCAACATGAATCACTGTATGAAAGTCAGTTATTTTTTTTTCTCCAAACCCAGAATAAAAAATCTTGCGTTCTGCAAAGGCACTCAAAGTGCATGGGCCGAGGTCAGAAATAAAAATGCTGTGACACAACTGGGAACAGAACCTCAGAGGGACTCAGTGTAACCATTACACCACACTTCCTCTCAGCACAGCACAACTTGGAGCCTGCTGACACAAACACTGCAACCGTTATTTGTCCCTTTAAGTGCCCCGTGGAGCCAAAAGAATATTCTGCAATGAAGTTGTGTCAGGAGCTGCCAGCTCCTTTCTCCCAGGGAGGGGGAAGCAGCTGAAGGGTCCCTTGTGCCCCAGAGGCTGCAACTGCAAAGATCTTGGCTCAACATCACTGAAAGCAATGACAACCTCGTGGTGTCACCCAGCTGGAAAGCAGGATATGTCACATTTTCCCCACCAGCTCTCTCAGTACAGCCCTAAGTAGTTTATTTTTTCTGTATATTAGTGTTTATAAAGATGCCTTTCAGAGCATCCTGTATGACTTCCCATTTCATGCACAGCAGCGTTAAGAGTTCACCACCAACCACACACGAGATCCAACCCCAGCACGGCCACACTGCAGTTTTCCATTTCTGAAAACTGAGATGTTTTTCAACCTAAGAATGCAGCCCCTTCAGAAACTTCCCATTTATATGCCTATATGGCATCTGATTTTCTGCTCTTGCTCTTTCAGGACTCCCTTGAAATTCTGTTCACGAGCTCCTGAGGTTCTGCAGATGACAGGCTGAAAAACGAGCAGTGTCACAGTGAGACTGCCACGCTGAGGAGGAGACTTCAGACTCGTTTAGTGGCTGTGCTAAAGGAAGAGTTCAAAGCATGATCATTCCTCTTCTTGAAAGAAGAATGCCTGGAAGACAGGCATCTCTTGTTAGGGGCTCTTTCAGGAATTTACTCTATGACCCTCTTCCCTCAAAGCAAGCTCTGAGACAAACAGAGGAACACTTGGTCTTACCAACACAGAGGGACCAGGACCGGATGCCAGGTGACCTCTTCAGATGAAGGAGGGAACTCGTGCGGTTTTCAACCAACATGTACATCTTCAAAACCTCCCAACAGCCCAGTGTGACTCATGAAACCTCACTGGACAAAACAAACAAACAAACAAACAAACAAAAAAGTAAGAACTTTAAATCGTTGAAGACTCCACTCCTCTCCCCTCCTAGCACTTTTTCAAGATTTATCAAGTCTTAATCTAGATTATATAAGATGTCCAGGGTAAGAACACAGTGTTTTTGCACAGGAAGAGCAACATGCACACTTCAAACAACCACAAAGAAAAACTGTTACGTGGACAGTTGCATAATATCAACAGGAATCTGAACTCTTGGAGAAACTTCTCATTTTGAGTGGAAGAGTTCTCTTCCTTTCTATCACAACCAGATTCCAGAAGAAAAGTGTGGAAAACAAGAACCAGGAACAATGTTGTTCCTAATTCATGAAGCCCCTCAAACAAATAAAACAAGAGCAGTGGAAAGTTCTTGGACAGCATTTTTCCTGTCAGCTGAAAGGGCTGTGTGAAGGACTAGTCTGGGAGCTGGTCCTGCACCTCTGACATCGGGTCTCTCAGCCCTGATGACACACCAGGAAGGGGTTACAGCCACAGCCAGGCAGTGCCAGTGTCCCATAATGCCACAGATGGCATTCCCATCTTCTAAACCAACTCAAGAATATAAAAAGGAGCTTCCAACAACAAGTATGTTTGTCTTTCCTCAACAAGACCATGCCTTCAGCCTAGGCAGAAACTAACAGTACAGATTAAAAAGGTGGGTACTAATTAAAACCATTAAGAGCTGGGCAATCCCATACATCATTCTCAGTAAGTTTTTGCTCTTTACAGAATAAAAGCAGGGAGTCATTTAGGTTGGAAAAGACCTTTAAGATCATGACAACCAACCATTAAGCCAGGACTGCCCAGTCCACCACCAAACCACGTCCCTAAGCACCATGCCCACCAGGGATGGTGACTCCAGCACTTCCCTGGGCAGCCTGTCCCACAGAACCAGTTCCAGGAGGTTGGCAATGAGCTGCCCTTAGCTGCCCATGATAACAGGTTTCCAGAAGAATGTCAGCATTCATCAGGTTTTGAATAACCATGAAAAACATGTAGAGAGCAGGCCCAAGCACATCCAGGTTCTTACAAAAGAAAAGTATGTGATTTTCGGTCCTTTAGTTATCCTGCTGTCCTTGGATGCAACATGACACTCCTGCAATTCTCTGCTACTTTGGATACAAAGCTCCAGGGGAGCGGATTTAGCCAAGTCCTTTCAGTTAAACAAAAAGCACCTATGACTTTGATTTTAATCTCTTAGCAACACATCTAAGAGCATCTGAAACCGAAAGAGCCAAAACCACTTATGCATAAGACACACTCCATCTCCTCCGGATGTCAAGCATTAAATTTTAATTTTCAAATGACTCCTGTGAGTTGCTCTCAATGTACCGGAAAATATCTCTGCACTTACAGTGCCTTCTCCTGCCTGCACCTAAAAGATATCTAAAGGTTATCAAATGCACAGAGATCACTGCAGAAATCTGGCTGTATTTCACAAATATGACACCCTACTTATAATTCACACAACTATGAGTTAAATGCGTTAATGCAAACTTTGGTCTCTCCCCCCATATTCACTAAGCGAAGTCATTAACCATTAATCATATCCATTAACCACGCAAATGAGTCTTGGCTTAATGTTGGACACTCAGCATCAATGGAATTGTCTCTCACAGGTTGCTGTTTGCAAGAGAGGGCCTCACGGGATAAAAAGCACCAAAGCCGCTTCTTAAATTTACATTTAATAAATAAATCATAAACGTGGCTTTAAGCGAATACAAAAGTTTAACTAGGAAAATTTTACGATTACAGACAAAGAGGTGGTTTTGGGCTGCTGTTTCAATTCAATTTCAAAACCTCAGTTTTGCTTGAATTTGTTGGGTTTGCCATTAAACCGATCTCCAGCACCAAAATAAACATTCTTATGCTTCCTCCAAGCCCTCGGCTGAGAGCGAGCCAGCAAAAGCCATTGAAAGGAGCCCCTTGAAAGCTTCACCGCCAATATCCATCAGGGATATCCAGTCAGGGCCACGCATCAGGCGAATTTTCTTTACAGAGCGCATTTTTTCTTTACCTCCCACTCCTGCACCTGCTCCCCCCACCCACGGCATGGGGGAGGCACGGAGGACCCTCCCCACACAGGGAGCAGCGCTGCCCAAATCCACCCAACGCGCGGGTTTTATTTCCTCACGCACCCCGAACCGAGGCCCCCCTTCCCCCTGCCCTCACCCCCGACCCCGCGGTACCTGCCCGGCTCCGGCCGCGCTCTGAGGGACCCGCAACCGCCGCGACTCCCGCGCCCTCGCACAGAACCCGCCTCAGGGAGGGCCGGACGCGCCCGCCGCCATTTTGGGTGAGGGCAAAGGACGGGCACGCGAACAGCCCCTCCCGGCAGGGCGAGGGCAGCGCCAAGATGGCGGCGCGCTGCCAGTACTCAACATGGCGCCTGCGCCCGCGGTTGCGGCCGAAGTAAGAGCGTCGATGTTTCCGTGGTTATATTACCTTAGCGGTGCTAGAAACGAGGGGGAAGCTCGTGCGTTGGCGGATGAGAGGAGTGTAGTGCTGTAGGGTGAGGCTGGGTGTGCGGGAGAGCCTTACTGGGCACAGTTTGATAGACCCGCGCTGGGTGAGGTGGACACGGCCCCGTGCGTGAGGCGGTCAGGGAGGGCGAGGAGCCCCTGCGGGCTGTCCTCCTGCTCGGGGTGTCCCTGTGGAGGTCGGGGCACCTCTGGGCTCCCAATGGCAGCACTTAGGGCATCACTGTCACAGAGTGCTTGCACTGTGCTGCAGCCATCACAAAATCACAGAATAGTCAGGGTTGGAAGGGACCCCTGGGGATCACCCAGTCCAACCCCCTGCCCAGGCAGGGTCACCTGGAGCAGGTGACACAGGAACATGTCCAGGTGGGTTTGGAATGTCTCCAGAGAGGGAGACTCCATGCCCTCCCTGGGCAGCCGTTCCAGTGCTTTGCCACCCTCCATGGAAAGATGCTGTCCTTCTCTTGAGGTGGAACTTCTTGTGTCTTAGTTTATGGCCACTGTTCCTTGTTCTGTAACTGTGCACCACTGAAAAGAGTCTGGCACCATCCTCTTGGCAACCCTTGGATATATTTATATGCGTTAATGAGATCCTTCTTGGTCTTCTCCAGACTTACCAGGCCCAGCTCCCACAGTTTCTCCTAAGAGAGATGCTCCAGACCCCTCATCATCTCTGTGGCCTCTCCTGGACCCTCTCCAGTATCTCCTTGTCATTCTTGTACTGCTTCTACACCTGGTAATGCTTCTTATCTCTGTGTATGGGCAGGAGGCTGCAGGAGGGTGAGGTTTGTAGTGATTTCTCAGTGTCACAAAGTTGTCTCAGTGTCTCCTCAGAGAAGTCCCACAATGGGACCTGGATTCCCATTGAACTGACTGCTTTAAGTTTCCCAGTCTTCAAAATGTAACTCTTGATACTTGTGAAGGGTTTTGCTCCTGCTGTTGATTTTTTTTTCCCCACTAGTAAATTGTATCTGTTGCCAATATGTTGGTTTATTCCAAATTTAGTAATACTTGGTATTTTTAAGCCTTAGCTTTCAGCTTTGATAGCTATGATGGTTATAATAATTGAATGCAAGGTGTTTTTGTATAGCTTTTATAATTGTAAACAGAATCCTCAAAAAATTCATGTCATTGTTCAGAAACTCAGGGGGATTTGCAAAGCAGAAATATCAGTGATAATCTTACAGTTCAACATTGATGTCATTACCTTAGTGAATTGTGTATCAGCTAAATGTTGGGTTTGAAAATCTGTTGTTTGGAGAGGAAAGTTTCTGGCTCATTTGAAATACTGAGTGACTTTCCTGTCGAGGACAAGTAGGCTAGATTTGGAAAATCCTTTGTGTTTCAGTTAAACATCATTCATATGGAAAAAGCTGTTCCTGTTCAATCCATGTCAGGCAGGAGGGGTGAAGTGCACACATCTGTAGTTTAGTTTAACTTCTTAAATTCCCGTCATGTAAATCAATGTATAACTTCACCTATGAATGATATTTGGTCCTCTCTCCGTTGCACAGGAATGTCCTTCCTGGATGACATCTGATACCAACTGATCTGCAATTTTTGTGTAATTCTGTTAATGGGAAAAGGCACTGAGGAACTGCAAGAATGAATTGGCCTCCCTGTGAGTCACGAGGTACCAGCTGCTGGATTTGGATGAAAAATAGGAAGTAATAAGTATCACGTGTCCTCAACCCAAACAAGCAGCTGACTGAGTCTTCTGGGAAGAAATTTATGTCTAATCAGTTGTCAATCAGTTTTTGTGAGCAGCTGGTTTCTCTGGAAACCAAATATTAAGCCATTTTGAGTGACACAAGACAAAAGACTTCTTGTCTCTAGAGCAAAGTGAAATAAGTAAGAAATTCATCTGTCCCCTGCACTCAGCATAAACCACACAACATATCACTTTGTTTTAATCTTGTTACTAGCTGCAAAAATATTGCAGTTCTGCACTTCTCCAGTTCTGCAAAGGCCATGGGCAGATAACTTGATATGACTTAATTTAATTATGAAGTTAGAGAGAAATTATTTCAACCATGGGAAATGCCACACACACACACACACACTCAAAACTGGAATATGGCAAAGATCCTTGCAAGCTTCTGCTATCTGTTAATGATTCTTACAGCATTTTTTCTAAAATCTGGGGGTTTTTACACCAGCATTTTGAAGGAGGTGAGTAGTGTTATGCCTACCAAATAAAAAAAGGGAGACAAAACACATTTTAAAAGCCTGATCTTGGACTTAAAGAATAGCATGAATTCCAAAACGTGTTGCTGCAGAAACAAAAACTATTTGCCAAAATAAACATTCAGTTGACTGTTCGTAGACTTCTTGCTCGATAATATAAAAATAGATTCTCTGGAAGTATAGAAATGCAATTTGTAGAGTAAATACACTTGTAACTGTTAATTCACTGATCTAAACCCAAGAATGTGCAGATATAACAGAACTGGCCTTTATTTTGCATTAGTTTGACACTACTGTATTTCTGGTCCTTTTTCCTAATTTCAGACCATTCTCCTAAATATTCCTTTCTAGCTCCTTACACTTCTTTTTTTTTTTTCTTCTTCCTCTTCCAAGGTCTTAAACTTAGAAATTCAGCTGTGCAATAAGCATGTGATCTCATCAGCATGCCAGGAGAAATTCCCAGAGCGCCTGATCCTCAGCAGTTGGTTGGAAGCACCCCCAGACCAGGGTTGTTTTGTGGCTGGATGGAATTGGCTGCGAGTCCCGGTAGAAATGAGCTCATCCCAAGGAGTGAGCTCTGCCTGGTGTCCCCTGACCTCTGTGGGAACAGTGTGTGTGCAGCCTGCAGAGCACTGATTTCATGGAATACATGTTTACCAGCTGCAGCCAAGATTTATTGCCCAATTCTGAGTGCTGTGGGGTGGCCTGTGCAGTCACTGAGGTGAGGAGGCATTTACAGCTGGCAGTGCCTTGCAGAACTGATGTTCAGCCTGTAACAGTTTCTTCAGTTGCTTGCAACAATTTGTTTTCACAGAGAATGCTTATTTCTCCATTTTATTCAGAGTGTAAATGTTTCAGGCGCAGGGATAAATGTTACATGGAGGGATGGAGGCCAAATACATCAAGAGTGGCCCTAAAAGCAAGTAATACCTTTAAGTGCTACCCTGCTGTTGACATAGGAAAGCTTTTAGGTGGTGAGGTTTTTGGGAAGTAGCTTTGCAAAGGTGATAACTGTTACCTCCCCAGGGCACCTTAAAGCAGGATGGTGCTCTCTTGTCTGAGGTTGTCAGGCCTGGTGTGATGGTGGGTCGTGGATCTGGTGTCCTGTGGGAAAATGGCATCCATAGTTAATGGAAAGCAGAGGGTGCTCTTGGCAATAAAATATATGGGACATCTAATTATCTAATGATTAGATAATAATTATTAGATAATAGATAATAATTAGATAAGTATGATCTTATACTGTGCACTGAAACAGAGACTCTTTGCACACTCTTCAGTTTGTATAAGTTTTTGCTCTTTTTGTTTGAATCCTTAAATTGAAAATAATTCAGTCCAGGTATTAAGCTAGAGGATGAAATAGGAATACTTAAGGCTTGTACCAAAGATGTCTTTAATACTTCTGCAAATGTTTCAATTTCCATGCAGTTCTCTGGTTTTCATTGTGAATATGAAGAAATATGGGGGAAAATTTAATCTCCTGCCTTTTGATGATGTGCAGAAGCACAACCAGTCCTGTAACAGATGAGTAAATTGGTTGCCCAGAGAGATTGTAGATCCCCATCCCTGGAAGTGTCTAAAGCCAGGTTGGAGAGGGCTTGGAGTAACCTGGTCTAGTGGAAGGGGGTGGAACAAGATGACCTTCAAAAGTCCCTTCCAACCCAAACCATTCCATGATTCTGTGAAATAAAAAATACTTTAAATATGATCTGCACAGTTACAGAAACATCCAAAACTGACATGTCTTTTGAAGAACCACAATATCAATTTTGGATAATGAATATAAGCATAATCATCAAAATGTGAAACAGAAGGATTTTAGCAACACATTCCTAATTTAGAACTTCCTTCTCTGCTATTTCCATATTGGTCAATGCAACTGTGGCTGTTGTGTCCAGGTGGAATAAGCTGGGAGGTTTGCACAGCTTTTTAGTATGAAAATACTCATTCAAAGGAACAGCAAAGAAGATGTCAAATAATGCTGCATTCCAGCATGGAATTGCAAGGAAATGCAAATTCTTAGGTCGAATAGGGATTGCTCTGGAATGGTTGTGGTGCTTTTAAAAAGCTTGAGTTAACATGCTAATGTGAAATGTGAGAGTGTTTTCAATGAAGAGGACAGACACAGAAAATTATTACCAAAGCTATTACAGTTTTTACCTCAAGCCAGGATTTAGTGATTTTTTCCAGGGTATAGGTAAATAATCAGCAGCTTATTTTTCTTTAAATGGGCAGTAAGAAAGTTTCTGTTTGCTTTCATTATGGTAAAGGTAAGGAATTCTTGATTTCTTTGACCTCAATGACAACTCGCCTGTAGTCTGTAAATTAAAGAAGAAAAGCCTACATTATTTTTACATTCTTGTCTGAGGTTGTCTTTAGTATCCTTGAAATGAAAGAAGTAGTTAGAGCTGTGTCCTTGGGTGACAAACCTCTGTGGCCGTGCCAGTCTCCAGCCCCTGTGCTCAAAACCTGTCTGTGGATTAACGCCTTAGAGTTCCCTGTAACAGGAGGGGATTTCCCGGGGGCACTGGGTAGAGGAAAGTTGCAGTTCAGGCAGGAAATTGCACGTTCGTTGGAAGTTCTGCGGTTTGATTTCTAAAATGTCATTTTACACTAGACAAACTTCCCTGCGCAGCTGTGGGCGTGTGCTGTGCACGGGGGCTAAAGGAGCAGCAAAATGTGGATTGAACCTTTCTGTCGAAGGACCACAACCCGAGGCTTAGAAAGACAAGAAATCACAAGCACCTTAATTAATATCTTGGGGCCTCTGAGGCAGTGGGAGGCTGATGTGCCCGTTTAATAACGCTGGACATAAGGGTGTGCAATTGCTGCCCGGGAACAGCATCGCTGGTTACTTGTGTTTTGTTACGGAAACGCGAGACCGCAGCACCGCGCTTAAATAAAATGGTGATGGTGCCGCATTTAGCAACTCGCAGGGTGTCGTTTCATTTCAGAATTAAAATGAGAAAACAGAAATCGGGGAGGGGGGGGAGGGCGGAAATAACCCTTTGTGTGATAGAACTGAGGAGCGCGTTGTAAAAAATATGCGGGGACGTGTCGGGAAAGCAGCGGAACCTCGGGCACGGCCGGGCACCACAGGAGGCGGGGGGGTCGGGATGTGGATGTGGATGTGGATGTGGATGTGGATGTGGATGTGGATGTGGATGTGGATGTGGATCGGGACGGGGCTGGGGGTTCCCTCGCGTACGTGCGGCGGCGCAGGTCCGCAATGAGCCCGGCGGGCGCGGCCGGGGCCGGGCCGGGGGAGGCGGTGGCGGAGGCGGGGCCGCCCCGCCCGCTCTGCGGCCACAGGCACAGCCCCGGCGGCAGGTACGGCGCCGGCCCCGCGCCCGGGACTGCCTGGTGGGCTGCGCTGGGGCTCTCTGGGGGTATTCGGTGGTTGTTGCGTTTTTCCCCGTGGAGCTGGAGAGCTGCGGGTCGTGCCCGCCCGCTCCGCCGCCAGCCCGGCGCGGGGGGCTCTGAAGGGCCGGGGTGCGGTGGGGGGGTCCCGCTCCCCGTGCCGCCTGCGGGGGCACCTTCCCCGGGGGGTCGGCGAGCGGTGTCGGCCCCTCGCCTGCCCGGGGCCGCTCGGTGCCCCCGCACCGCCCATGCGCGGGGGCCGGCGGCGTTTGCGGGGTCACTGCGGGCGGGGGCATTGCGGGGCATTGCGGGGCACGTGAGCGGCGGGGCCGCCCCGGGACCGCCCGGCGGGGCGGGCGCGGCGACAAAGGGCGGCGGGGCCGGGCCGGGCCGGACGGGGAGTCGGGCTGGATTGGCGTTGCTCGTGCGGGTCTCACCCCCCGCCTCGCTCTCTCCTGTCCCGCAGCCCCGGCCGCCAGGACCGCGCCGCACCCGCGACAGCGCCGGGCTGCGCCGGCCGCGCCGCAAATGAAGTGCGAGAACTGCACCAAAAAGGTGAGTGCGGCGGCCCGGTCCTGCCCGAACCCCTCGGCTGGGGAGGGGGACGCAGTCCCGGGGGTGGGGGACGCAGCCGGCGGGGACTCCCGGGACCGGGGTTACCCCGGGAGGCCGAGCGGCGCTGGCCGCCGGCCCCAAGGTCACCGCGCTCCGCGTCCTCCCCGCGCCGGCACCTCCCGGAGCCCCTTGGCTGCGGCAGGAGCCGCTCCGCTCCTCCTCGGCCTCCCCGGGCAGCCCCCGGCGCTGACGGACCGCCCAGAACTCCAGAACTGATGGACCACGGCTGGTTCCATCGCAGCAATTGCACTTGGAACACAAGGCCCTGCGTGTGAAGGGGCAGAAGGAACGCTGCCAGAACGCTGTGAAGTAACGTACCATTAGTGGTTAATGGTACAGACAGTTCTGCGAAGGTGTGCTCGCAGAACGGTGAATGGGCTTGGCATGATCCCTGCATTTTCTGTTTTGTTTCAGGAATGCAGTAAAAAACAGAAAAATGATGATACACAAAGCACATCTGTTGATGCATTGAGTTCAGACGATGGCTTTGAAGAGGTAATGTTCCTTCTACAAACTGTAATATGCTCTATTTGTATTCTTTTGTTGTTGCTACCCCAAGGGAGGTTATAAGGAGACAACTTTCAAGTCCTAAACATAACAATAATTAACAAGCAGTTGTAAGCAATTTTGAGCTCTTGTAGAGAATGAAAAATCTTTTGAAAAGGTGAAATAAAAGCCCATTTTGAGTGTCAAAAATCTTTAAAACAGACACAGAACTTGAGAGGAGTTTTGATAGTAAAAGGGCACAAAATGTCTTTATATCTAAGTTTCTTTCTTCTTGGTGAGCTGCCAGTGGTTGTCATGGCAGATGTATGATGCTCTTGATCTCACAGTATATGTTTAATGCAGTGGTAGGACTGTGTTTTGTTTTACCTTGTGGTACAAAGCCCAAGCCATCTTGCTGTTAGAGGGGCATCTGCTTAAAGAGGTTTGATAGTTCAGGTAAAAGTTTTCTGGGTTGCTTGGTGAGTTGATGGGGACTGTCAGCTCTGCAGTGCAGTGCAAATGAAGTTACTAGAACGTGGATTAGGGGCTAAATTTAGATCTCTGTTTGCACTTAAACATGTTGCAGTTTCACAGTAATAGCAAGAGCAGAGTCATGGAGGGGATGGAACAAATTATTTTGATTACCTGTAAGTTCCCTTGGATGTTACACAAATGTCATGGGTTGTCTTCTTTTAAACCAGTGAGAGCATGTTTGCCCTTCAGCTGGCTCATTGCAGAGGTCTTGAAAATCCTTTCATTGTTATTAAATACTGGTTTACTTTTTTTCTCCCCCCTAGAAAAATGAGTTTGATACATTGGCTAATGCTAAAATACTCCTTAGCGACTGCTTAGCTTGTGACAGTTGTATGACATCGGAAGAAGGAGCCAGAGTTTTCCAACAGAATCAGAAGGAGTTCTTTCGTGTTCTCAACCTTAATAAGGTAAAGTGACCCAAACAATAACACACAGTTTTCTGTGAGGAGGAGGCAGTTACAGAATGACTAAGCAGCTTGGTTTCCCAAGGCAGATAACGTGAAGATTTGTCAATATATGTTTTTTCCAAAGAGGAAGTGAAAACTTGAAGCAAGATGAATGATAAAGTACTTAAAATCATTTTGCACTAGAGATGTGAGGTCACAGCATTTAACCTAAATGCTAGAAGGAAGTTACTGCACCTGCAGAAGGAAAATTTATTGGAAATGTAACTCCCTCATTACTGTACTAACAAATTAGTCTTGTAGTTCAATATTTACAGATATTCCTACCTTTATTACTAGGACTGTTCTGGGTGGGGTTGGTGCCACTGTATCCACATAACATAAAGTTAGGAAGACATGTTATTGAAAGTAGAATTGTCTTTAATATATATATATGACCTGACTATATTTGGAACAGAATTTTTTGTCCAAATTCTTAGCAAAACTTAGAAGTGTTCTATTGCTGTCTTATTTTCTGCTGACTTTTTTTTTTTCTGGAAGCTAGTTGCTAAGTACTGTGCTCAGATTTTTAGGACTTGATACTGAATTAATTATTTTAGTTCTGCCCCAGACTTCTGTGTCCTTACTTGGTGTGCAAAAGCTACCAGAATTGAAGCTTTTTTTTGATTTGTATGTAAGTGTCATAATTAAGAGGATTCACTACACAGTACTTAAATTTTCTTAGGAGTTTAATTCTCCACACAGTATGATGATTTCATACATGAGAAAAATGAAGAAAAGGGGGGAAAATAATCTTATGGGTCACATTAAGAGAGCCTGAATTGTACAATAGGGAGGCAGCCATTTACCTTTATCAGACTTCAAGGGTCCAAAGGAGGATAGTGAGCCAGAGGCTCAGCTGTGAGCTCTGAGTTGTGAGCTGTCCTTGAGAGGTCAGTACACAGCATGTAAGTACAGACTGTGGTCTCTGACCTTGGCAGGGTGAAACTTGTCTGTGGCACAGTCCAGGGTTCCACTGGTGTGGAAAATGACCCTGCTACAACACAAGATTTGTCTTCACCTAAATGCCACAGCCATCAGAGCTGTACAGTTCCACACCACCCAGGGTATTTTCCAAGGGTTCCTCAGTGCCTACAAACCCTGGTTTGTTGAGGGTCCCATCTTGCCACTTTCCCTCAGCAACTTCAGTGATAAAGACACAGGAGCCTTAACAAAGAATCAGATCTGTAATTTGCTGGGTTGGATTTACAGCTTCAAATACACCTGCTTCTGTAAACATCAGTTTACTTAATATTTAAGCATAAAACTTTTTGCATATTTGCTAGAATCTTTCATATTGCTAGAACATCATGGGTGCTGCATGCCTCTTAACTTTCCTTATGCCATGTGAAGACCAACCAAAGAATTCCTAGAGGACAGATGGATTATATAAAAGCAACATCTACAGATGATTAAACACTGACAGAATCAGAGGAACACCCTGTCCTGCCCCAACTTGATGGCTGTTTCACAGAGCTTGTAATGATATGGCCCACTGGAGCATAAGACACTAAGGAAAAACTCCAGGAGAAGAAAAGGCAGGGAAAGCAAGGAGCCTTACCCTGTTGTAATGACATATCTTTTTTTTCTTTTTTTACCAGAAATGTGATACCTCAAAACACAAAGTGTTGGCAGTGTCTATATGCCCTCAGTCATTGCCTTATTTTGCTGCTAAATTCAACCTCTCTGTGAATGAAGCAGCCAAGAGACTCTGTGGTTTCCTCAAAAGTCTTGGTAAGTTTGGGGTTGTTATGGTGGTGGAGCAGAAAGGGGGGATTGTTTTAGGTTTTTTGCAGCCTTCCAGTACCTGAAGGGGCTAAAGAGAGCTGGAGAGGGGCTTTTGACCATGGAGTGAAAGAGGGGAGATTTAGATTAGATACTAGGAAGAAGTGAGGGTGGAGAGGCCCTGGCACAGGTTGCCCAGAGAAGCTGTGGCTGCCCCATCCCTGGAAGTGTCCAAGGTCAGGTTGGAAGGGGCTCTGAGCAACCTGGGACAGTGGAAGGTTATCCCTGCCCATGGCAGGGGGTGGAACTGATGATCTTTAAGGTCTCTTCCAACCCAAACCATTCTGGGACTCTGTGCTGTGATATTTTGTTGTGCAGTCAGAAGGTGCCATTGCACAACTTAGTTCAGAGTTTGAACTCCTCGCTCTGTGATGTTCCAGCGGGGCACCAGTGACACAGAGCAGTGTCACACATGGATTGGAGACATTCCCTGTTCCCAGTAAAGGTCATGGAATAGAAGGACATTGTAGAGCTGGCTCCAAAGCCTCCACTGCCAAGGAATCAGGGAGGATTTGCTCATGACCTTCACTAAGATTTCCCTGTATTTTGTAACTTGAGGGAGGAGGGAATTCTTACCCTAAATTCCTTCTAGTCCTTTTGACACATTAAATCTCCACAAGACTCTCAGTTCTGTTTTTTCCCTGTAATTTGAAATTACATGCAAGAACTGTTGTATCTATGTTAAAACTGTATTTCCTTTGCTCATTATGCTGTATATAAGTTTGGAAATTTTTTTTTTCATTTACTTGAGAGAAGAAAGAAAAAAAGGACAGTAATAAACCTATAAAGTGTTTCCATATATATACATATTCATTTTTCTTAGTTTTTATGATGCATCTTTGTACCCAGTATATTTTCTTCATCTAAAAGCACTGCTAAGTTGTGGTGGGGCCCAGTTTTCTCAGAACATGTTCATTATCAGTGTGGGGATGTGCTCAGTGTTACGTAGGCTTATAGGGAGTGTGTTGCTAAATAAGCAGACAGCAGGTCTCTGCAGTGTTGGTGATATGCTCCTGTACCTCTGCAGACAAATTCAGCAATGGGAGATATAACTGGATGTATTTTTTTTGTGGATAATGATATGTGACTTCAGCATGTCTTGAAAAGAACACTCCTTTACAAGAGTCACTGTGAGTCACCCTGGAGTCACGAAATCCCCCTCAATTAAACCAAAAGCAATAGATGCTGAATGGCAAACTCCTCTGAAGGAGGCAGAGAACTATTGGAAGTGTTGCTTGCAGCATTAGCAAGCTGGTGGTCCTTTTAAATTCATGACATAGAAGATAAGTTTTTCAGTGTATGGCTTTCATTTATTTTCTAAAAATTTGGAGCGGGGAAAGAATATACTCATGGATTCTCCAAGATTTTCCATAGGCCTGGAACTTTGAGAGATGCACCATTCCCTGTTCCTTTCTGCTTGCTTCCCCAGGGGTGCATTATGTATTTGACACCACTATAGCTGCAGATTTCAGTATCCTGGAGAGCCAGAGGGAATTTGTGCAGCGGTACCAGCGGAGGAACCAGGAGGAACATGCCTTACCAATGTTTGCCTCTGCCTGCCCTGGTGAGAACTGATTTCTCCATCCTTCCTGCCCTTCAGCCTGGTCTCACTGCAACTACCAAGGAACTAAGGAAAGAGTGGCTTCATTTGGGAGCTTTACACAACTTAAGGCATTTTTGGTTTGCTTCTGAGGGATACCAAGCACACAGTACTTGTTCCCAGTATCACTGGTCATCCTCAGTGCCTGGAATTGAGAATCAGAACTGGAATGGAGAAGTTAGTGGCTGCTGCTTGTGTGTTCAGACCACACAGTTTAATGGGGCATTTCCTTATTGAAAAGAACCTTTAAGGAACTTTGATAGGATTAAACCACAACCTCTCTTATCCTAAGCCAAGTTTTGAACTTGCCACTTAAGCCTGGGGGGAAAGTAGCAGGTGACATTCCTTGTAATGACTGTGAGATGGTCATGTCTGACACTCAGAAAGTAATTCTCACATGAAATGTCACAGCCTTGACTCACTAAATGTTTTACTTTGGGAATTTTGCACCTGAGAACGTGTTCTGTATGAACAGAACCTGCAGTTATCCCAACTGAATAGATGCAGAACATTCAGTAACTGCTTACCTTTTCCATTTGTTAGCACACCACCATTTCAGTCTAAAAGTCACCTTCCTAAAAAAGAAGTATCAAAAAAGAGGTAGAAGTAACTCCTTTGCCTAACATCCCCCTCAACTCTCCCCTAAAATTCATGGTTTTCCTTTTCAGAAGGCTGATAAAAATACCAAAATATTTCTTGCTAACTCTGAAATAACTCAAGTGGCTTGCAGTGGTTAAAGAAATGTTAGTGATGAGAGAGTGAGTGAGAGCTGCAGTTGCTAATGCCCAGAATCTGCTGTTGTCATTGATGTAAAGTTTAAATACTACTGTTTGAATTATATTTAATAATTTAATACTCTGTGTGTTCTGTGGTTGAAGTATCTGGGTTATGCTTTAGGTACTACATATATATACTAGGAGGAAAAGTGTTTTCATCTCACTGTTATCTTAGTTTAACCTTTTATCTTCAGGAGCAGGCACACTATATATTGCTTTTTTTCATGTGAAACCTGTAAAGTTGAAACACCTCCCATTAATTAGGTTGTGCATGGTTTCTGTAAAATTCAGGACCTGAGGATTTCTTTTAGAACTTCTGAGAATTTTGATTTTCTTCATCTAGAAACAGAGCTCAGTTATCTGCTGCTCTTACTGGAAATATTTTAAAATAATTAATGGAGCACTTTTCTTGTCCTTGGGTGGCCCACACAAAATAGTTTCTGGTTTCAGTGCAGGTTGTGGTGTCAGCCCTCTGTACAGATGTCAGCAGAGCATGGGTGCTTTCCTTTTCTGGGAAACTGAGCCAGAATATCACTGTAAACCCACTTTGAAAACATGGTGTGTTTCTCTGACAGCACTTAGAGAAAGCAAAAATCATGACTAGTCATCTTTAAAGTTCATCATGTATACTGACCTTAATTGTCTGAGGGCATTTTCTGTTCCTTATTCTCCTTCCCCTCTCTACCCTCAGATTACATAAATTTGTCCCAGAAATGCTGTTTACTGTGTTTATCACAAGATGTTTTTCATATATTTCAGTAGACAGAAGGTCAATGTGAACTCAAGTAGAACTGCTTTTTGCTCTTGTTTATCTTGGGCTGTGACCCTGCTCAGCCCTATCACCCTGTGCAGCAGCCTGGTGTGGAAGATCTGCCATGAGCAAAGAGCAGAGCCCAGAGGGCCCAGAACCTGATAAGAAGGTGGATTAGTGTCCCTCTCTTAATTGTTCACCTCCTGCTGCTCCCAAAGGAGAAAGTGAGCTGATGGTTTTGTTTCTTGTTTAAAGTACAACAGTGTAACTACTGATAGTACAGGTAATCACTTGTGTTCCTCAATGTACCAGGCTGGTCAGCAACATGCAGCACGTTTTGGAAACAGCCAGTTTTTAATGCACTGCCAGCCTCTGTGTACTCCCAGAAAAGCCAAGGGGTTGGGATTTGCAGCAGCAGTAGGAAGAACATAACTGTTGAGGATTCAGATGCTTTTGTCCCAGTCAACTAATTGCCTTTTTCAGGAACGGGATTTTACAGCAGGAAAAGTTTTCTTAGTTTTCTTGCCCTTCCTACAGATGCACAGATACATTTATGGCATCTATCTTTGTGACCTTCTCAGAATAACCACTAAAAATATGTGCTCTGAAGTACCTCTGCAAGAAATTATGCATTGATTGGTAGAGGTTTCTTGCTCTTTGATGCCAACACAAGCCAGCAAATGGCTGAGAATCCAAATGAATTTGTGGAGGGGGTAGGTCTGGGTGGTGCACCCCGATGGAAGAATGGGGTATCTGAGGGTTCCTGTGCCTGGGGCTCTGGAACTGAGCCCTGGGATGAGCAGGCAGGAACAGCAGTGTGTGTGTGCAGGGCAGAGCAATCCCTGTGCCCCTCACCAAGGCTGGCTGTCAATCAGCCAGGGACTGATGGGCATCGGGAGCTGCAACTCTGAGACACTTGTTCCATCTGCTGCAAGGACAGAAACAGCTTCAGAAATTACTTTGGGCAATACCTGTCAGAAATCTCTTGGGATTCAGTGAAATGTCCTTACAGCTCATGACTACAGTAGCTGAAACATTCCAGTTTTAAGAATTCATAGCAGGAGTGCTGGGGTGAGTGATGGCAAGTACAAGGCAGAGTGGTTTTTAAACTGTCCTTGTTTGGTTTGAAGCAGTTGTTCTCTTTGGACAGCACTTGAGACTAAGGCCATTTGAGCAGTAGGATGTACCTATGCTGCAGAATGTAATACAGCCTTTTACCAAACACCAAGGAATTAAGTCCTCTGTTGCAGGTACAGCTGAAGATGGACGTGAGGCAAACCTTCTGTTCAGAGTTTGGCAATTCAGCACAGTCCTGACATGTAAATCTGGTCCTCAGCTTTTCCTACAGCAGAAATGAATGGTTGTTGAAGATGGTGTGTGTCTTTGAGATTTTCCATGGAGACCACTATCTGTACTTCAGCAAGAATTGGGAATATTTAAACAGCTGGAGGATCCTCGGGTTTTTCTAATACTTTCACGTTCTCATTTTCATCAGTAAAATTTTATAACACTGGGAAAACTGCCATAGAGGGGCAAACAGCTGAACACCACTTGGATCCCAGTTTTGTGCTGCTGTTCTGACTTAAACATTACCAAGTGTTTTTTTACATAAGTGGTAATTCCAAGATTAAAAATTAAGGTACAGGTTTTACCCTTCCTGGGCAGCATGTACTGCACAGCAGTTTTTCTCTTATGTAAACACTAATTTGCTTGAAGATAAAATACTTAAGTGTGATATTTCTCACTATTTCTTAGCACCAAAAGCAACACACTTCCCTGGAAGGCTGGGCCTAAATCTCCTGCACAGTTTAGGTGTCATGTAGATGAAAAAAACACCAAACATTTGCTGTGAAAGATTCTGGGCTGTGATTTCCAGTAAGAACCTAAGAAAGTGCCTAAGAAAGAACTGCACACCCTAAATACCTTGATTTGCCAGTTCTGTTTTGGAAGGTGGGGAATAATACAACAGCTCTGGATATTGGGAATGGTGTGAATATCCACAGCTTGCCTGAGCTGACATGCTGAGTGAAGGAGTCTGGTGAGAGGGAGGGGGGTTCTTGAGTAACTAAGGACAGAATGTTGCACACAGAGATTTCAGTTCGTTCCTGTGTGTGGTTGAGTGTGTGGGTGTTCCTGAAGGTGTGGCTACTCCAGCAATAGTAAAAGAAGCCATTTTTTTCCAGGCTTAATCCATGTGCATCTTGTGCTAATGCTTTCATGTGACTCTTCTGTTCCAGGGGGGCGAGCTGGGGGCATGGATATTGAATCCCAGGAAACAGCAGGTTCCAGTTAAGCAGCCAAACAGTGCATTTGTTGTAGTATGAGGTGATCCGAGGGCTGAGGTCTAGAAGGTCAAGTTACTCTTTGTTAGTTGGGGTCCTGTTCTTTCTGCTTTGTTAAATCTGGGCACTAGGAAGGGTGTAACAGGGCATGAAGTTCACAGAGCCTTCTAGGTCTAGAGTTAATGACACAGTGAATTATCCATTAAAGCATTATTAACAGAGCCTTGAATTTTCCTCCATTTCCCCTCACCCTGCACAGAAATCTCCTACCTACTGTGAAGGGGTCAGAAATTTTAGGAGCTGTTCTGTGAGTTGTGCTTCTGGGCCACTTCTCTCTGTGACTGTGATTTCCTGTCTCTCCAGGTTGGATCCGATATGCTGAAAGGGTGCTCACCAACCTGGTGACCTCTCACATTTGCACTGCAAAGTCTCCCCAGCAGATCATGGGCTCCCTAGTGAAGGGCTACTTTGCCAGGCAGCAGGTAAATAACTCCCATTTATTTTTACCACTATACTCTTCTAAATAGAAAAGTTGGGCTAGAGAGTTTTAATACTGAAATACACATATTAGTTATTATTTGTCCTTGTAAAATAAATAGTGCTCTGCTGCTCTACACAAGTGCCACGATGGGAAGAATGTGCAAAGAACCTCAGTTCATGCAGTGCAATCCTTGCACTCTCAGGGCAGCATGGCTTTAGATATTTAAGGATAAAATTAAACCCATGGCAGCTAAAGGGTTTCTTGTGCTGTTCTACAGCACAGCCAAAATGGGAGCAGAGGAGAGACATGTGGAAATTGCCCTGTTATCTGGGATCAATAAAAGCACTGTATCCTGGAAACAAATCTTTCTATCCTCTCAAGTTTGTATGTTGAAAAAGCTGCTGTTCTTTACATATCACACTTAAATGGAACTGCAGCCACAGGCTGTAGGAAATTGTTGCTGTCTGCACATGGATACAGAAATAGAGAGACATAAATGAGTGACAGCTGGAAACCAGAACTCCTGAACTGTGTTCATTTTCTAAGGCAATCAAAAGCCACAGAAAACGTGGTGTGAAGGTATAAGTAGGAGTTCCAGCCAGAAGACAGACTTTGGAAGTCTGTTGCTGATGCTTTGTGACTTCTGGCAAATCATTATTTGTGTGTGGCAGCCTCTAAATGTAATGAGTAGGGGCTGATTCCTGGTATTGCCTGCATGGGGTTTATGACACTTTTTCTGTCCTTGTCATCCTTCAAGCTGTCTTTTGCTCTTCAAGGAGTTCACTTGTGCTCCCTTCTGTGTTCCACAGAACTTGTCTCCTGATAAAATTTTCCATGTAGTTGTGGCGCCTTGTTATGACAAAAAGCTGGAAGCCTTGCGGGAAGATTTCTACACTGCCTTGTACAATTCCTCAGAAGTTGATTGTGTCCTGACATCAGGTTAAATCTTTAAACTTACCATCTATAAATATATAAGTGAATCACCAGTTTTAGCATAGCCTTCATGCCAGACTTGGCTTTTTTCAAGTCTGCTTTAGTCCTAAGGTTGGCTTTTCTCTGCTTAAAAATAAGTACGTCTGGTTTTGTGCTACCGGTAGTACAGGGACTGTGAAGGGGATACTTTCCTTCTAAGTTGCTTTTCATCTGACATATCAGGTGTTTCTTTCTGTCAGCCTCTCGAGGAAGGTAAGTTACTCAAATCTATATTTAAAATGATTATCTGGCTTGTCTGTGGTCATTATTTAATCTCCACTGGGATTATTTTTAACACTCCAAATTCATGTCTTTATCCTTAATGTCCAAACTACACATCCTGCAGTGTAGAGACACCTTCCAAATTTGCCCTACCATGAAGGCTAAGGATTTAAGCAAAGTTTGGGCAAGCTTGAAGGCCCTTTTCTTTGGGGCTGGAAGTGTCAGGCTTCTCAAGTTATTGGAGGGAACTGACTCTGGGAAGAGCTGGAGAATGTGACTGAGCAGGTGTTGGGACATTGATCTCTAAAACAGGCACAGCGTGGGGGTTGTGCTTTGTGTTGAAAGTAAAATGTCTCGTGTTTTCCTACAGGTGAAATTGTCCAAATAATGGAACAGAGAAATGTGTCTATGAAAGATGTGCCTGAAGTAGCTGTAGATAGTTTGTAAGTAGCTTTGTTGTGGATTGTTTCCTTATTTTGATCATAAATGATGCCTTGGAGCACATTCAGCATCAATGTAAAACTGCTCAGGAGAATGTTTTTTCTTTTTAAAGAAGAAAACCTGCATCAAAGCCTGAATATCCCACAGCTTCATCCTTTATGTAGTGGCCAAAACCACAGAAGTGTTGTCTTAGATGTTCATCGCTATATATAAAAGTAATATGAAACAGATAATATAAAACTGTATATGCTGTCTAAACACAAAAGGGTCACTATCTCAGATTATATGCTATATAGTAACTCCTTTAAAATTTATGACTTTTGAAGATTTGTGTAGCTCCTTATTTTTATTTTAACGCAGTAATATTAGATTTGACTGTGCTGAGCTCATGCCTTGCTGGTAAATGTGACTGTCTGGGGGTGTTGACCCCGTTCAGAGCTCTCCTGTGCTTGATCTTGAGTGAAGCCCAGCAGGCTGATGTGCCTCACACAAAGCTGCAGGGACACAGTCGTGGGCTTGACCATCTGCTCTGTGCTCCCCTCTCCTTGACAGTAAATTTCCACTTCCCCAATATGTTCATGGAGAACTGCTAGAAGCAGCACCCTTTCAGGAAATGGTAATTAACTGGTTTTTATACTGAGGACAGCAGTTAGTTTTTCCAGATTAGCTCAGACTGAACTGTGCTGAAGCACACAAAGCACTGAAGAGGTTTTGTTTACACCCCATATGCCTGGCTCAGGGAGCACTGTGCCTGGTGGTTAATTCTCAGGCTTAGTTACAGAGGCTGCTCTCCCTGATCTTTGTTCAAGTGTGACAGATGTTCCTTGGTATCTTTCCAAAGGGGTGGTAGTGGAGCAGTAAACATGCTTTCTTGCAGAAAATAGAAAGCTCTGTAAGTTTGGAAAAATCCTTTTCAGTTCCAGTTAATATCCTGCTTGGATCTTGTCTAGAGTGGAGGAATTGGAGTGGTACAGTGGGAACATGTTCAGAGCTGTGTTTGTGGTGCAGCTCCTGTGATTGCTTCTACCAGGAACTGTCACACAATGAGAATTCCACGAATAAAGCTCTTGCAGGCATAATCACATAGAGACAGTCACTTAATTCTGTATCAGCCTGTCCAATGAAAGAACAAGCTGTGATTCAGAATATACCTGGTTTATTAGCTCAGTTTATAGAAGTACAGAATCTCCTGAGTTGGAAGGGACCCACTAGTTGGAAGGGATCAAGTCCAACCCCAGCAATCCCACCTTGTCCTTGAGAGCTCTGTCCTTGAGCTCTGGCAGCCTTGGTGCTGTGCCCACTGCCCTGGGGAGCCTGGTCAGTGCCTAACTACCCTCTGGGGGAAGAACCTTTTCCTGAGATCCACCCAACCCTTCCCTGACACAGCTCCAGCCATTCCCTGGGTCCTGTCACTGGTCAGAGGGAGCAGAGATGGATGTTGCCCCTCCACTGCCCCTTGTAGGAGCTGCAGACTCCGATGAGTCTCCCCTCAGTCTCCTCTTCCCCAGGCTGAACAGACCAAATGACCTCAATTTATGTTGGAAGATAATGTTAGCTTTTCAAAGGATTAATCTGATAATACTGATTCAAGCTGAGAGACCTGATGACATAAATTTTTGCTCTTCTGGGGTCTTAAAAATAGATCTTGCAGAGAAATTTAAATAACTTGGACTCTTCTTAAAATAAGTCCCAGCACAGCAGCAATTTGTGATGAAGTGCTTGGTGTTAAAAAGTTCCATGGATAAAGTAACTTGTGTTTGAGTCCTTAACTCACTTGTGTAGCTCCAGCAAACAGCATTTGGCAAAAGTTGGGTGAAACACCATGAAACAAAATCACCTGAGGTTGTTAAAAAAAGAAAACAACCCCAAAAAAACCAACCATAAGTTGCAGTAGTTCTTCAGTAGCTGCACTGGTGTGGCATGGAGGGGACAGACATATTTGAGCTTTTCAGTGATTCAGTACTTATTAAAAAAAGTACTTATTAAGTGTAATAACTTTGTTAGTGAGGTGTTTGCTGTGGTAACTCTCACCTGGGCTCTGTGGCCGAGCTCTGTGCTGGGATCAGCTCAGGCAGGAGCTGCCAGTGCCAGGGAAGGGCACTCTGGGTGTTCTGGGAGAAGGTAACGAGACTACACCCAGAGGGGCTTTTACAGGAAAGAGCAAAGCACATCATCTGTCTGTCTGCTGATCAGCCCAGTGTCTCCTCCTGGAAGTGGCATTCCCACACCCCACGTGGATTCCTCCTCTGCCAGGAGGGAACAGGAGCCCGCAGAGCTGCAGCTTTGGGATCCCCAGCACGTGGCCCAGCACAGCCCCTCCTGCAGCCACGTGGGCTCAGCAGAGCTGCTCCCAACTGGGGCAGAGGTGAAGCTCCAGGAGAAGGCCATGGCCTTGGATAGGAGCTCTCACTGCCTTTTCTGAGCTAAAGCACAGCACTTGTTTCAAGGTACACTGTTCTAACCTGGTTGCAGCTGTACCAGTTCAGTGTTCTGTTGACACACTGTTATGGACTGTGACAAACAGCTCCTGGAGCAGGAGAATTGTCTGTCAGCAAAGACTTGTAACTTTATATTCTCACAGGCAAAAAAACTACTATTTAAATAATTTTATTTAAATATTTTCCAAAAAATGTCTCCTGAGCAGTGAATGGCTGTTAACCAAATATTTAGGCTGTGCTGAATGTGCATTCTTATGAATTACTGTTGCTTGAACATGGAAAGCCCTACAGCCTTTATTTTATATATATATTTTATTTTTTTTTCACAATCTTGCTGCTGTCCTGACCAGTTAACATTATTTAAGCCGTAATAAAAATGTTAATGTGTTCTTACTTAGTGCTACAAAACACTTTTTGGTGGGGGAGATAGAGAAAGGGAAAAACATATTGCTTGACTGAAGGGAAGGAATGGAATTTCAGAGTTGATCTTCCTTTCTGTTGTTTTCTAAGGTTTGCTGACATAAAGGAGGGAGATGTAGTAAGGCACGATGGGAAGAGGTCTGATGGTTACCTGGAGCACATTTTTAAACATGCTGCAAAGGAGCTTTTTGGCATGGATGTCAAGGAAATCACCTACAAAGCATTAAAGTAAGTCAAGAGTTTTGTATCCTTGTTATGTAGGACTGGCTAGTTGGAATAGAATATTTTCAATTGCAAGGGACCTACAATGATCATCCAGCGCAACTGTCTGAGGAATGTGGGCTGACCAAATTTAACCACCTCTCTGGGGGATTCTGTTCCAGGGTCTGACCACCCTTTTGCTAAGGAAAGGGTTGCTGAAGTCCAGTCTGAACCTCCCCTGGTTTAGTTGGTGCTGCAGTGAATGCAGTTACTGCCCTTTGGCTGATAGGCTGTTACATGTTATAAACCTGTAAGTCTGTCACAGCATTCATTTAATTGATAGCTTAACCACACTTTAAAAATTAAGTATAATTCTATTTTGAGTTACACCCCAATTTCTGCTTAACACAGTTTAGAAACTGGAAGAGTTCACCTTGATCTTACTCTTACACTTGTTCTGTTCTCTTTAGAGCATCTGAATACAAACTGACAGAGTTGGATTGTTCCTCTGGGAACACAGGGGGTTAAAATGTTCTCTGTGTGTTTTGACAGGAACAAGGACTTCCAAGAAGTTACCCTTGAAAAGGATGGGGAGACAGTGCTGCGCTTTGCAGCAGCTTATGGCTTTAGAAATATCCAAAACATGGTCCTGAAGTTGAAAAAAGGAAAGTTTTTGTACCATTTTGTAGAAGTCCTTGCCTGCCCAGGAGGTAAGAATAATTGTGGATCCCCAAACACTCTGTGCACGTCTTGAATCTCAAAAGAAAGCTGCCCTAAGGCAAGCACTTCATTCCTTCCTAATTCCCTTCTTAATAATCTAAAATCTCATTATTTAATGAAGGGTCCAGAACACCAGTTACAGGTTGTGGGTTGGCTCAGGAATTGATTGGGTTTTCCAAAATTAGCCCCAGTGTTTCTGGCTCTCTTCTGACCTATCAGTCAGTGCCGGCACTTCCAAACCTCAGAGGAAATCCCCTGAAATGGTCGTTGTCAAGGGCAAGAAGAGATAAGATAATTAGGATCATAAAACCACGGAGAAGGCAGGGAAAGACTGTTGATATGGAAACCTCATTTCCATTAAGATGATGTTGATATCAGAGTCACTTTAGGTAAATACAAATTGTAACAGCACCGGGGGCAGTTTATGTAAAGCCAAGTGTGAAAAACGAATTTTGAGTTAAAATTTCTCCTCATATCAAACCTCATCACCCTTGCAGCTTTTTTGTTCCTTTTTTTTTCCCCTAAGGGTGCCTAAATGGCAAAGGCCAGGCCCAGACTGAGGATGGCAAGCCAGACAGAGCCCTGCTTGCCCAGATGGAGGAGGTGTACGCTGCCATTCCTGTCCGGCTGCCAGAAACCAACCTGCACGTACAGAAGGTGTACCAGGACTGGCTGGAGGGCATGGACTCCAAGAAGGCCCAGGAGACTTTGCACACCACATACAGTGCAGTGAATCAAAGCACGAGCAGTTTGGACATCAAGTGGTAACAGATGAGAGGGCAGAGCTGTGCTGAGCTCTGGGGTCACCACGGGGACCCTCTATGCAACCGCGGACACGGAGCACCAGCCAGGGGGAGTGAGGCACTGCCCAGCTGGGGGCTGTTCCTGGGGAAGAACCATTGCTTTGCAAAACCACAGAAGTCTCCAAAAGCTCTGGTTCCTGCCACTGTCATTGAACTTTTACTGTGTGTCGTTTCATGGATTTCTTCATTCAAAAACGTGATCTCGCAAGGTCCAGAAGCCCTTTGGGAGTGTAATTCCTGAAGAAGTTACTCCCTGGAGTGAAGCATTCCATTCACTTCACAGCATGGGCTCCTCCAAGAGGGTGAGATGATTTTACTCCTACTCCTAGGTGTGCAATCCCTGTCATCACAGGAGAACAGTCCACAGGAATTTCAGTATTGTTGCAGTTGGTGTGAAGTAACTTGGGATTTACTTGCCTGGCTAAGGAAAAAGCCCTTTAAAAGGACAAGTGAGTACATGAAGAGATGTAATGAATTTCTATATGCCTTGTATCTGTAATTCAGCAAAAAAATACTCAGTTCCAAACTAGCCACCATTCCTTCCTGATGTAATGTCACAGGATGCTTCACAGACACTGAACCTGGGAAGCTAATGCTGACTGGTTCATTTAAAATAGCTCCAAATAGGTCGGTTGGTTGGTAAAAAAAGAGAACTTACTTTAAGTTGTCTTCAAAGCTTGCAGCCAGGAGGACTGGTGCTGCTTGGCTTCTCTCTGAGAGTGAAACATGCCCAGATTGTTCTTTCATTTGTCTCCCATGTTGACAGACTTCTGCAAAAAATAACTTCCTGGGGTGCCTCTGAGAAAAAAAGTCCTGAGCAATGCTTGTGAACTCTTCAGAGTTAAGATACATCAGCATCATGAATTTTGGTGCACTTATTTTTCTAAGTATGCTGTAGAGGTTTCATTTAACAGACACTGTAAAGTGCTCTTGGCATGCAAGCTTGTCTGCAGTGTCCTGAGTTGTCAGAGGGTTGTTCAAGAATGTGATGGACAAAAGAAAATTAAACTCCTGCCAGACTTCCTCAGATTTTCCTGGTAACATCCAATCTGTTCACCATTAATGGCTGTTTGAAACTAGCAAAGTTCCACCTTTCCCTGTCCAGCCTGAAAGGGTGGATGGGCTTTTTTAATCATTTCATTAATCTTCTTGTACATTCAGTATTGCAAGAGCTTGTGTGAGGAAGGTCTAATCCTGCAAAAACCTGTGTTTGAAATCCACATTTCACCTGAACCCAGTGGATGGGATGAAGCAGCAGGGAAGGCAGTGCAAGTCCTGGCATTGGCTGAAAAGGAGAGAGACACTCAAGTGTCACCCTGATGACAAGAAATAATTCTCTTAATGTGAAGCTGTTAATAATTGCAGCCTCCACCTAAACAAGAAACCATTGCACTTGGAGGGATGTTTTCTTTCAAGTGCAGATGAATTTGATTAGTGCACTACCTGAATGCACACCATGAGATTATCCCCAGGAATTAGCCCGAGGTGTCCCTTGTAATAAAAACGTGGTACTTACGTGGTGCAATATCAGAACATCACCAGAAATCTACCTCTGTACAGGAAGGGAGGCCAGAGGGCGTGGGAAGACCTGTGTGTGTAGCTGGAACTGTGACAAATGTCTGCTAGAGAAAGATGGGGTGTTGCATGACATTTGGGAACGGATTTCTTTTAGAAGCAACATCCACCTCCTTCAGTCTGATTTTCTTTATCTGCCACGATTTCCTCCAGAAACTCCAACGGAATTATCCTGTACTAAGGTGTCCTGTTCTGTTTGTATAGGCCTGTTTCTCTGTATATATGGTTTGTAGCTGGATGCATGTTTAAATTATACGGCTTCTGCTCTTTGTACAGTGTGCTTATTTTTTTATGTGCATATACTGGGTGAAGTGGTATGAAAAAGTGTGAAATCTTCACTAAATGACACAAGAGCTGCCTTGTTCTGGAAGGAGACCCCTGAACTGTTTGTGCAAGGTGACAAATCCTCCTCAGGGGTGGGTGGCACTTTGGCCTCTGTGTTTGGCTGTTGCACTGAAGGGCCTCACTCCCTGTGCCACTGGGGGACCCCCAGGAATGGGCTGGTCAGTGGGGGAAGGAAATCTGTGCCCTGCTCCCAGGAAATCTGTGGCTCGGTGTATGAAATAAACTATTTCAGTTGAATCCACCATTTCTTCCATCTGCTCCAGTGTTTTAACCCCTTGAGGTCACAGTGTGAAGAGCTGTTGATTATTTGGCTGCTGCAGAATTCTTTTTAAAGACAAGGAGGGCATCTAACTGAGCTTGTAGTGGCTACATGGAATGTCTGTATTATCATTAGTGACCTAAGCAACTGAGACTTGTCTTTTATTTTGGTTAGCTTTTCTTTTATAAGACTTTTTGGAGTAAAACATAAGCCCTTTTCTTTAAAGTGCCAGTTGAAAAGGAAAGAAAAGTTTTTTCTTTCCCCCTCCACCTGCTTTCATTGAAATTTGAGGTATCAGAAAACCTCATTACAGCTTCATATACAGTGAAACACTTGCCTAAGGTTTGATTCTGGCTTTTAAACCTGTAGTTGGAAAGTGTTACTGTTGACAACACCTGTTCCAGCTACACTTCTGAAAATACAGCACTATTTAATTCCCTGATTAATTTTTGGCAACCAATAATTTCCATTGCTCCTGCCTTTTCAGCAAGGGGAAAAGCTCCTGGTGTGGCCACAGCCATAGTGCTTCACCTCTCCCTTGAATGTTCTGCTGAGACAGTCTTGTCTCTAGAGGCTTTTTAGAAAATTCTGAACTGGAGAGATTCTGGGAAGGGAACTGGAAATGCTGAATTAATTTGGGAATTGTCTTGGGTGTTCTTGACTTGAGCACATCAAGTGCTGGATGCCTGGGTTGTAGTTCTGTACTCTGAGGCTGTTCCAGTGTGTTGTGAGGTCCCTTTGCCTTGAGCAGGAGGTTTCCCTCAGCCCCAGGAGTGTGTGCCCTGTGCTCAGCCACATGGGCTGTGCTTCCCTGACAGTCAAGGATTTATTCATGTGCAGCAGTCTCAGCTGGGCTGCATTTGGACAGTGTTCTGTTACCCAAATTTCAGTGCTTTGTTTTCAAATGGAGCATGACCATGAACTGTCCTGAATAAATCCTGATGCTCAATTCTGCACTGATTCCATCTCATCCCATAAAAAAGTCTCAGTACACCTGGTTTCACACTTGTCTGGAGTGCTGAGCATGTCTGTGGCACCAGCAGTGCCTCAGCTGTTTGGGAGAGTTCTGGGTCACAGCTACACCTCCAGCTCTCATAAATGGAAGGAGAAAGTTGCCAGATTGCTGTAGGAAACGGTAATCTGCTCTCTAGAATTGTAAATTAATATACTGAATCACTGCAAGGCAGCCAAGCCTCTATGGCTTTAAAGCTCTGGTGCCGGGGGAGAAGGATGAAACCAGTCTGTGAGGGCTGACTAATTACACTGAAGTTACTGTAGAGAGTTAATTAAAACACTGGTGCACAAGGAACAATAAAATCCTTATTTGTGTGTGGCCTGATCCAACAAACAGCTGGGGGAAGGATGAAAATTAGCCCTGACACAGACAAGGGATTTTTCATCGATGGGTTGGGTGAAAATGTAACGAACTGAGCAAACATTTCCATATGTTCCCTTGAGCAGCTGGGACCTGAACTTCCACTAAATAATAAATTGATCTGAAGGTGTCCTGTGGTTTCTTTTCAAGGGACAGTACGGAAGGGTTACCTGGCCAGAGGAAGAGGAGCTGCTGGCACAGAGTAGGGATGTTTCTGTTGCTGTGTTAACCAGTGACTAGTGAGGAGAGGTTTGCAGGAGGGGAGATGGTGTTCTGGTGTCCTGAGCAACCCTGGAAATGAAAAGCAAACACTGAGGGGGTGTGTCAGGAAAGCACTGGGAATACCCATTTAAACTGTGCAGAGTTCCATCTGTGCCATCATCCCTGCTCTAAAACCACAGCATTCCTGCCCCCATTTTCCAAGCGAGTACTTGAGTGCAGCCAAAAAACAATGTCCAAATTCAGCACATTTACCTACTAAAAGGCAAGTTTTCCACACTGTAAACGCCTTTTTTTCAGCCCCCCCAAAAAGACTTTGTGTAAAACATCAATGAAATATAATGGAATATCCAATTAAAATGTTAAAACAATTATTTAAGGTCCTGTGCTTTTTGTCCAATGTACAGCTGTTCATCCCAGTGAAGAAAAGTGGGAGTAGCGTGATAAAGGATCAGGTCAAGGGAAGCAAGCCTTTGGCACTGAGCTCCTGGAGCTTCGTCCCGGGCAGTCCCATCCCTGCTGCAATGTGACCCCATGGAACAGGGAAAAATCGGGATAATCCCGACAGGTTCTACCGAGATTTGAACTCGGATCGCTGGATTCAAAGTCCAGAGTGCTGACCATTACACCATAGAACCAGGTGGTGCCTTCCAGCCCTCTGAGCCTGGGCAATAAATCCATAGTCAACAAATCCCAGTGGGAAAACTACACTGTTCCTCCTGTCCTTGGACCTGCAGTGACTGGCAGGAATTTAACACGATGTACATATCCATATTTATCCTGCGTTTCTGCAGGATTCATTGTGTTCACAGAATCACAGAATTGTTTTGGTTTGGGAGGGACCTTAAAGCTCATCCAGTGCCACCCCCTGCCATGGGCAGGGACACCTTCCACTAGCCCAGGTTGCTCCAAGCCCCTTCCAACCTGGCCTTGGACACTTCCAGGGATCCAGGGGCAGCCACAGCTTCTCTGGGAAACCTGTGCCAGGGCCTCACTGCCCTCGCAGTAAAAAATGTCTTCCTTATCTCTAGTCTCAATCAACCCTCTTTTAGTTTAAAACATCACCCCTTGTCCTGTCATTCCATACCCTTGTCCAAGGCTCCTGCCCACTTTCTTTAGGTACTGGAAGGCCACAATAAGGTCACCCCATAGTATCATGATGGCAGGAAGCAAACATGGGCAGTGGGAGAACACCTGTTTTTAGGGACACACAAAATCCTTGTACCTGCCCCGGAGCTCAGCGGTGCCTCCAGCTTTGCTAATGCAGAATTTAGAATCGTGTTCCCAGTGTAGAAATAAAACCACTGATGTTCCAGTGAGCTGTGACATCTCTGAGATTCTTCAGATAATTCCTGTCAGAATATACCAACCTGGCTGCAATAAGTAATAGCTGTGGGAAAAAATATAATCAGGAAAATTCTATGTTTGTTTTCTCTTCCTCTTTCACTTTCCATACGCTTTCCAGGCAGCACGGGATATGTCAGCAGTTCACGGCATTTCAACAGTCCATGAAAAACACCTGAAACAACTTTTCCACGGTTTTCCAGCAAAGAGATTTGCCCACTGCAAAAAAGTTTCAGGTTCCACCGAGATTTGAACTCGGATCGCTGGATTCAGAGTCCAGAGTGCTAACCATTACACCATGGAACCACACATCCTGAGCCCATGAGCTGTGCCTTGTGAGGGAAATCCGGGGGGAAAAACCGAAATTGTCCCTTTATGTGTCAATTTGGTTTATCTGGTTTTCCTCAGCTCATGTCACTCAAGGCCTGAACACAAATTTTTTCAACACCACGTGCACTGGCTGTATTTCAGAAGGAGGAGCAGGGACCATTGTCACAACTGGTTTTCTGAGTTTGCCAGATTGTTTCCTCTCTTGGTACCGACTGACCAGTGTGTGGGTAACGGAACATTCATTTAAACATGCAAGACATGGAAAAATGACAAATATACGCTTTTACAGGCTAGTTACAGGCCTGGTGGAGCAGGTCCAGACAAAGCCATGAAGATGTTCCAGGGGCTGGAGCACTTCTCCTATAAGGAAAGGCTGAGAGAGCTGGGGTTGCTCAGCCTGGAAAAGAAAAGGCTCTGAGAGGCCTTATATATTTATCTTATAATAAAGATAAGGAAGAAACATTTTAGTCTGAGGGTCCTGAGACACTGGCACAGGGTGCCCGGAGAGGTGGTGGATGCCCAATCCCTGCAGACATTCAAGGCCAGGTTGGACAGGATTCTGAGCAACCTGATCTGTCCCTGCCCCTGGCAGGGCCTGGACGGCGTTTAAGGGTCCCTTCCAACCCAAGCCACCCTGTTACTCCCTGAAACCATCAAATCACGCCAGAAGAAAGGCTGTAAGCACCACACCATGCTGTGCTCTGTCCATCCTTTACTCGCACCCGTTCCACGGCATGTGGTCGAGATGGTTTAGGGAAAATAACTACTCGCTACACCACCGTTCCCCACAGCCGTAAATAACCAGCAGCGAGGACGGAGCCGATA